CGAGCGTTGAAATCCGGTCGTCTCTGTGCTCTTCGTCGAATTTTCGATCATGCATCATGATCCTGATGCATCATGAGTTTGTCCCACAAGGCCAGACAGTTAACCAGGCTTACTACAAAGATGTTTTGACCCGTCTGCGAGAAAAAATTAGGAGAAAACGGCCTCAAATTTCCAAAATGAAGCCTGGTTTTTGCATCACGAGAATGCTCCAGCCCACACTGCTCTCACAATTCGAGAGTTTTTGGCTAAAAAAAAAATTCCTGGGTTGCCCCACCCTCCCTATTCACCGGACCCGGCTCCGTGTGACTTTCTCCTGTTCCCCAATATTACATTTCACCTGAAAGGAAAAAGATTTGAAGACATTGCATGCATCAAGGAAAACACGACGAGGAGAGTCTTACACTCCAGGACTTCCAGCACTGCTTCCAGAAGTTGCAAAAGCGTTGGGATAAGTGCACAGCGTCGAGGGGGGAATACGTTGAAGGGGACAACAATTAATTTTAATGCACTTATTAAAAATAAAGTTTACGAATAAAAGTACTGGAACTTTTTGATCAGACCTTGTACTTCATTTACATCTGGAAACAATCCACATGTGAAGGAGCTGATCCATGATGAAAGGTGTGTTACAGAACATAACAGAACGAGTAAAGCACAATAGCTGCATCTGTGGAAGCTATAATCCACAATCACTTCACTTGCTCTTCAGGAGGTTTCGGTCAATGACCGATTAAGCATGTGAATTTTGAACAAATAAACTGAATGAGGCTTTGTATCAATGTGCATGGTATCAGAATAAGTATGATGTTTCATGTAACTAAATATGCTTGCATCATTACTCAAAAATTCAGACAACAGTCCATGTTTGGAAGCACCCAACTCCTTCCTCTCAAAAGAAATTCAAAACACAACAATCCACTAAAATAGTTGTGGCTTGTGAATATTAGCAAACCAAGGCCATAATTCGAACAGATTTTGGGCTTATCTGGACAAACTGTGACTGCTTTATATTATTCACTACTGACAGCAGATAGGCTTGCACTCCAAGAAAAAAAAAAAACCAGCTGGTTTCATCTAAAAAAAAATGTATTACTGTTTCATGATAATCCATGCATTCCATATACAGCTCAAAATACTACAGCCACAATTTATGAAACAAGGGATCTTGGGAGACCATGCTGCATAATCCATACCACCTGGATCTGGTTCCAAGCAACTTCCAATTGCTTGGACCATGCGAAGAATCACAAGGAGCAAGAAGTGCAAGGTGACAATGATGTGAAGGAGCAGTTCCAATAACACCTCTGACAGTACACCAAAATAATTTCATACTGATAGCATATAAAAGCTGGCAACCAGACAGAACATTAGAATAAGCATGCAAAGGCACTATGTGGAGGAGAACAGGTAAGAAATGGAATTATTTGTAAACACTTTTCCTGGATAATTAAATGTTGTCCTATTTTCAGTTTAACACTCCTTGGACAGGAAGTCCTGTATGCAGATGAAGATGGCCATAAGATGACCAAGAATTTTGTGAAAAGCAGAAGTCATTTGGCTTTTTTCACAGATAGACTGCACCAGTTCCCGCAATCACAACTAGAATCTCAACTTGGGCAGATGAAAATATGTAGAACCCTGTTTTGTTGAACAAATATCACTGCATCTGCAAGCTCTGAAGGCGGTTGGAATGTAGGGTAACACAATGACCCTTGAGACTTGACTTCTGAGAAAAAGACTTGAAGCAAATAGGGCACTGGAAAGGTTTCTCCTTGCTGTGTTTCCGGCTGTGGCTTTGTGCATTGCCTTTGTGAGGACCAAAGTATGGACATACAGGACAGAAGTAGATCTTGCACCCTGTGTTTTGTGCTTCCCCACACCATAGGTAGGCCTGGACGTAGTGCACGCTCTGCAAATGTGAAAACAGAGGAAAGGTTATTTATGATTATCCAAGAAATGCATCAGAATATATTTCATGCATTTGTATAAGTAACATGTGGAGATGAAGGTCTCTCATTATAGTAAGGAGATCATGTGGTGATAAGTCACTCTTCTTGAGCTATATTTGTGTGAGAACAGAAGATAAGTTTCACCATCTTGGATGGATCAATGTATGTATGGATGTTCATAGTTTCCATATTTCTCCACTCTTCACAGTTCCAAAAGACAATTATGAAGAGTTGAGAAATAATATTCAGCACACTCAATGGTTTGCTATTTTAAAAATTCTTCAATTTATGGAAAGATGTGCTGCTAAGTTAGGTAGCTATATAGCCCTAAGACAAATTATGAGCAAATACAAATCTTGTTTGAAAAAGGTGAATGATAGAACCACAATAAATGCCAAAAATGGGAGTGAACACCTATGTTCATCAGAGGATGGGAATGATTTGGGTGAGATCAAATTAGACCCCCTCGAGTTTTTGTACCTAAATCCATTCCTCAGCTACACTATGATATGGCTTTGGGGCCTAGACAATTTGAGAGGAAAATGCATGTCCATTCACCAAAAATTGGTGTAATCTGACAGAAAAAACAATTGGGATTTCTTGTTACATTGAATTATGCAATGTAGGAGACAAACTTTAGAGTACAGTCAGAATTTGCTTCACTTTTCCAATATAGGTGACTATATGGTTGCCTGCTGTGGAAAAGTTACCTTGCTTCCTCTCATGCCTAATGGAGCACCATCCTGTCCTATTCCCCAAAGGCAGAGTACAGGAAGATCACATCTCACTCAGTGACTTGTTAGTGAAACTTGTTACCGTAAGGCCTCTTTTTTTCTGGATGAGAAATGAAGTGATTTCTGGAAAAAAAAAAGGTAACACCTGACAGACCAGGTTTCAAATGTCAAATATTCTTCTTTTTTATATTTTCAGCTCTATGTATTTCATAATGGAAACATTTAAAAATTATTGTGGTATATTCCATTTCATGACCAACCATGTAATGTCACAACAGGATGATTAACATGAACCAAATAACATCTATATGTTATTCAGATACATGTTCATTCTCCTATATTGCACACTCAATCTCTCAAGGTGATGTATATGGTGAATAGAACAGACAGCTTTGAAGTTGACTATCCATGAGCAGTACAGTAGGATTTCAGCAAGAAATACTGAGAGAAAGAGAACAAATTTTTATTATTATAGACTAATGGAGAAATGGGAAGGTTGAGGTCAGAAACACATCAAATCTTGGTTACAAATGATATAAGGATTTCCTTTGATGCCACTAAGAAACCAAGTTCAGAAAATAAGGATGGCCCAATAGCTTCTGGGGGCACTCAGAAAACAATGCATCATCAGACTGACTCAGTCACTGCTTCTGCAAACTGTGATGGTCAAGGGAATGCTGAACAATACAGTGAGTCTTGAGGCTGGATTTTTGGGAAAAGGACTTGAAGCAGATGGGACACTGGAAAGGTTTCTCCTTGCTGTGCTTGCGACTATGGTCCACCGCGTGACCTTTCTGAACAGTTGAGTAGGGACAAACAGGACAGAAGTAGAGCTTGCACCTTGTTGCTCGCATCTTCCCACACCATATATAGCTCTGGACATAGGACACTGTCTGCAAACAATATGCAAAATGTATATATTGTTGTGAGGTGAAGGCATCCCATTAAAATGCATGGCTAACATGGAGCCAGGTTGAATTATCTCACGGTTTATTTTTGTGCAAGATAAGTTGAGGAAAAAGAGTTATTTCTTTTCCTTTTTTTTTAAAGAGCAGCTTACGCTCATAAATTATCAATCTTTGCTTCACACTGCCACAGACTTGGTCAAGTTTTGTCCCTCAAGAAAGACCAGCAGTTTTTCTAGTCCCTCCAGAAAAACATACTGTAAATCCCTTTCTGAGATCCATATTGGGACTCTTGATGTAACTTTCCAGAGAAAAACATCAAGTGAAACTTCTGGGCCTCCATGTACTGCTACTCTGAATACCTCTTGATAAAAATTTTGAGCATAGGAACTGGGAGGAAGCCGAGAACAAAATGGTTTGTTTGATCAATAAATGGACTCCACGTTTTGCAACCATGTCCTTCCATGGACGAGTTTTAATAATAAACCAACTTGTTGCACCCAAGATATATTACTTGTTGGCATGTATTGAACCACCACCCGGCTTCCTCCCAAGGCTTGATCAGCTTTTTAGGAATTATGTATGGAATGGGAAGCACTGGTTGTCTGGTTGTTTTGTTCTCGGCTTCCTCCCAGTAAGAGGCGTCTTTCTACTGATCAATACACCGATAGAATCAGGAACACTCCCCAAATTTACTGAAGCTGCAATCAAAGTTTGGTTCTCACTAGACCTTACATGCAATCCACACAAATTTTCCCATTACCTCTATTCATTAGTACCTCTGAAACCCAACATCTTCTTTAAGGCACTTCCAATGTCACCATCTTCTGCTTGGATGAAAACAAATTTTGCATTTTTACAAGATCTACACAGAAACAATTCCTGGATAGACTCGACGACAATACCAATCACAACAGCTCTCACAAACACGCAACACAACACGACAAATTTCTATGGACATAAACATGATGAAGAAAACTCTCCCACCAGAAAAATCAGGTACAACAAAGTCACTATCATCAGTCTTCTGCATAGGAATACTGCACAAGGAAAAACCAGTCCACCTAGAAATTATGTCTAAAGAAACAATTTATGACATGGCACTTCAAATAACCTTCCAAAAGAAAAACGTTTCCAACACCCTTCACCACTTTCAAAAAGTCATTCCAGGATTGGATAAAATTGTTCCAGTATGGAAAGNACCACCTGTTGACCAAACTGAAGAGGAAGAATGAAGAAAACTTTCAATATTGGGAGCCCTTGGCAACAAATGACGATGGGAACCTGACCTTCCATGTGGACTTGGAGACATGAGAATTCATTATATGATGTTTTTATGAATTGAAGATTTTATTCAGTTGTTAAAATAAAGTCCAGTTGAAAACCTCTTGATAAACTTGAGGCCTATGTGGCAACACCTGTTTGATTTATTTTCAACTGGTTCATTAAGATGATTTCAATTGGGCCATGTATTTCCATATCCATTATTCTCTTCTGTTCACTCCTCCTTTCTTCTACCCTGCACTTCATGAATTAAATGAAATTCACTCCCCAACTCCTCCCACTAGCTCAGGTAACTCAAGAATACAACACATGATGCCAATACCAACCCACATATTCTGAAGGCAGCAGTTATGGTCGCCAGGAAAAAAAATTTCCCAACTTTAAATGCCCACAGATGGAATACCATTTGAGATACCAGTGGGAAATTTACAGGGTGTCACAATATATTAACTGAATAACAACATACTAATAGGAAACATATACTCATAATGATGCATTAGATTAATATAGTAAAACCTCAAAGAGACAAGTAACAGAGTAGAGAATGTTCTGCATTTTATTTCTCATCTCCTTCAGATGAACAGGACAGATACAAACCATTTAATCTTGCAACCAGCATGTGGTGTTGTTCTATAAAAAAAAATATTGCTAAACATACTGCCCCTGCAACTGGTCAACTGTCAGGAGGAGGTCCAGAAGTAGATGAAACATAAAAAAACTTCTCTTTGCTCTACTTGCAACTACAGTCCTCAGTGTAACACTTCTGGGCAGTTGAGTAGGACACAATTGAAAGACCACATTGTCCTTCTGTTTTTCATTTACCCATATCACATTTAGCTCTGAACATATGTTAATGTCTAGAAATAATATACATTATATATCATATTTACTTGGTTGTTCTAGAGGATGCTAAGTAAACCTTGAAACACACTACCTTAAAGTAGTAGGAAGGTGTCAATGAAAAGATGCAGTGATGGGTAACACTGGTTTAAAATATTCTTTATTGACTAGAACTATGCAGTGGCAGAAATGAATTTCTACCAGCAAGATCTTCAAGATATTTAAATGAAAAAGATCCACAAGTCCTCACCCTAGAACACTTCAGGAATTCTTGTGTTGGGGAAATGGGGAAAAGGTGGGGAAGGGGAAGGGATGAGAGGATAAGGATTAACATCATCATTTCAATGGCTGTCAATGACACAGACACAGATGCCTGGCATACAGGAACAAACTGAGTCAATGCATATGCAGCCTCTCAAGACTAGAGGAATGCTGAACATAACAGTGAGTCTTCAAGTTTCCCTTTTGGGTGAAAGACTTGAAACAGATGGGGCATTGGAAAGGCTTCTCTTTGGTGTGCTTGCGGCTGTGGTATTCAGCATGGCCACTGTTTGCAGTGATGTAAGGACAAACAGGACAGAAGTACATCTTCATCCCAGTATTATGCATCTTTCCACACCAAACGTAGCTCTGCACATGGAAAACTGTCTGCAAAGAATTTAGAAATAAGAGCAAGATTAAAATGAGCTCATTAGTAGGCTTCCCATAAATATACAAGTTGGGAGAGAGGACATGAGAAAAAGGGTCAAGAACGAATTTTTCTACATAGTTTAATTAAATGGAAGCTTTCACTTATAAAAATGAATCCCGTAGATATAGAATCTCATATACACAATGTCATACAGCTGCAGGTGAAAATGAATTAAACTTTCTAAACTACATGATTACTTTAGAAGTTCTGCTACATTCAAAAACAATAGAGAGCAAATATCAGCACCATGATCAGGGCTGTAATATCAACTAGTGAAAACCTTGCTGGTGCCAAACATGGTGGAACACTCAGTCACTGGATCTACAGAGCCTGAACACTGCTGGAATGCAGGGTAGCACAATATTGCAGAAGGTTCAACTTTGAAGAAAAGGACTTGAAACAGGGAGCACACAGAAAAGCTCTCTCCTTGATGAGCCTCTCCTGTGACTGTGGTGTTGCATTTGCCTTGTTTGAAGCAGAGTACAGAGATAGGGCAGAAGTAGGGTAAAAGACCCAGTGATGGAGCACAGCACACAAAAATTCCAACAGCTGAACTTCTATAGCACACCTACCCCTGTTGTGACATAGGCTAGCAGCTTTCAAGCACATACACACTTCAGAGGTGTTCATGGAACAAATGCCTAGTTTTTTGGAATTTTCCTGCGATGTGGCCCATCACTGGGTGTTATACCCTACATCTTGTCACTGAGGAATTCCATAAGAAATGACATCAAGGTGAATGAGTTTTTTTTTACCAAGGCTAATACACAAATTCATATATCATTGATGAATATATAGTCTCACTGTATGCCCAATTTCTCCATCACATTGATGCAGACCATATCACAGTGACACATATTAAATAGTCAATCTCAGAAGAGGATTTTCTTGAGAAGCACTCAAAGAAATTGGGCACTGGAGGTGCTTCTCACTGGTGCAATTCACACAGCAGCTTCTGGCATTTCTGCATTGAGTGATAGGCAGACTGGATATAAGAGTATCTGAATGACTGTAAATTGTGCCTTCCCATGCATGTAGTTCTAAGTTTAGGATAATGCATTACGTGATGTGTTATATGCATGTGAAAGCATTACATGATGGGTGAGATTCATTTTATGGCATCAGTGTATTCAAATGATGGTCAAAATTCTTTACTCTCCAGCAATTCTTCATAAGAGCAGAAATAATAATTTATGGTTTGGCAGGGTAACAATGGTTCAAAGAGGGGCTACTCTACATACAAGGTCAACAAGAAAAGGATTGTAAAGCAAACACCATTCACCAGAGAAGGGAAAAATTGTAATGCCAACATGACACTAAGATGCTTTCTTCACACAGAGGACCTACCAATGCATGAATTGCTACAACAAAAACTAGTTGCAATAACTAATTTACAGGGACCAAGATAGACTGTCCACTAGATCCCTTTATTCTCTTAATCCATACAACTTAAGGGGAGACCCTCCCTTAAAAAAAAAATCTATTATTATGCAAGATATCTGCATGAAATTTGGTGTGCAAACACAGTAAGGCTAGAGCTTTTCAGTCATGGTCAGTAGCACAGTAATATAATCCATTTTTGAGAAACAACTTTGGGGCACACTATACTCCAACCTATCAGAGGTAGATGAACAAAACACTAAGTGAAATAGTCTGATAGATAATTATTCAACATTTCTATGCGATAAAATTTGCAAGATTCATGTGTTTTTTATTTTTCCACAATTTTCATTTCAGGTGCACCAAAATGACCACACACTCCTTGCTATAAATGTCATAACTACGGCATTTTTAGTGACATCAGAAAACTACCAAATAGAAACGCGCACAAACATGTCTGGAATGATTCTACAAAAATTTGAAGAGAATATCTCTAGGCATTCTAGAGATACAGTGTCCCAAAGTAAGAAAAAACATTTGTGGAGAAAAACAATTTGAATTTTCACTTAACTAATTATCAGTAACTATTCAGAAGAGGATGCCTACAAAATCATAATTTTTGGGAGCAATGGGAGCTGAAATTCTTCATTGCTTCAATGGAATTGGATTGTACATGTTTTCCTACTGAATATTACAAAAACCTGAAAAATTGAAAATTTCACACAAAATTAGAAAATTTTGAGGGTGGGGAGGTCTCCCCTAAATACCCCTGAAATGTAAAAACTACATATTTCCTAAGATCCAAGTACTACTTTACTCACCTGTGAATCATATTGCAATACCAAATAAAGACATTGACTCTGCCATTACACTTGGCCCCAACATTCATGCAACAGGAAGAAATGAAAGCTCCATTAAGACTAAAGCTTATAGACTAGGGGTGCCTTATATTTTCTATAACTTATCGAATAATAGAGCTGAGTTTCTTATGTATCTGACCGTTGCTTTTCCAAGTACAATATCACTAAGCTATCTTTCCACACCATTTCCTTTTTTACTTACATCTTGTCTGCAGTAGCCAGGAGATTGATTGCAGAGGAGATTCAATGATGGCACAGTACTTCAGCAGGCATTTTGCTAAACATTTTTTCCTACCAGGGTAAATCTTATAAGTAAATGAGACATTAAAACAAATCATTCCACCCTGTTGGAATAAGAAAAAAAATTACTTTATACACATATCACTCACTGTCATAATGAAAACAAAAACCAGTATAAAGATTCAGAAATATCAAGATGTCTGATGTGTCATATTCCCATGGATATTTGCTTCATGGTATTTCCGCCATACATCCTGTGTGAAAGTCTTTGAGCAAAACGAGCACCAGAATGGTTTCTCATTGTCATGAGTACGACTATGCCTGATAGCATTGTGCTTGTGGGCAGACACATGTGGGCAGATGGAGCAGAAATACAGCTTCTTGTTATCAGCTGTCTGTCCACACCAAAGGTGGGTATGTACAGGGAACACCATCTATGAGAGAAGAAAGAAATGCAATACACAATGGTCAGTGGAGAATGATTCAAAATTTTTATTTTTCATATCACCAGCTTAGTCATGAAAGACAAATCGAGAAAACACAAGATATTCATTGGCACAATTGACCTATGTCAAATGAGATGGACAAAAAAAGCAATGACTGCCTTTATTATTCCCAAGGAAAAGTGAGAGTGACAATGCAACTGGAGACATTGATTAGATTTCAAGCAATATTTGAAGAGGAGGAGCAAATCTTTTTCCACACTCAGGATACTGGTGAGGCCACTTGCTGGTGTGCATGGGAGGGTGATGCAAAACCATGTCTTTACAACCATTCTCATGTGGGCTGATGTCACAGAAGTATGATTTGCAGTCATAGGCAATTATGTTTCTACATGACATATATCTCTGAACATGGGGAATAATCTTCAACAAATATGAGTTTGAGGCAAGCATAGGAACTTGGGGAAAATTAGGGAAAATTTCTCACACATAAGCAAATAACACCATTTACCTAATTTCTAGATCATTGCAGCCTGTAATGCCAGGATGGATTTGATAAAACTGGATCTGCAAACATGGGCAAAAAAAAGCATTCAGTCACTGGCAAATCAATACTACCAACATAAATATATACTGACTAACTTGATAGCAAAGGAGAACATCCAGAAAAATTAGATGGAAAAGTTCATATGCGTTATCATGTGTGTCTTCAGAACATCCTTTCGTGAGAATCTCTTCTCGCACACGTTGCATTGGAAAGGCTTCTCATTGGAGTGTGTGCGACCATGCCGAACACCATGGCACTTTAGTAAAGTTGAGTAGGGACAGACAGGGCAGAAAAACAGCTTCTCCTTGGATCTCGTCAGGCCACACCAGAGGTAACTCTGGACAAAGAACACTCCCTTTGGGGAGCATAAGGTATTTTAAAATCCATCTCCATAGAGCAAATGAGTCACACCCTCACATATGTGATTAGATAATGCCATCTCCAGAATGACATAACCCCAATTCCTACCAAAATCTGAATATTTTAGAAAAAATACTGTAAACACATTTACTGCAATGGCTTGATAGTGCTGTTAGAGCTTTTATCTGTTTTTAGATTTCTGCTCATATCACAGGGTTTGAAATTTTCAGGAGCTTGAGAGGTGGAGGTTCCTGTGGGCCATAGGCATCCCAACAAGCATCTTGGTGTCTTGGGCTCATGTGAACTTTTAACCCTGCATGATAATGATTGCAACAAATGCCAAAGGCAAAAGGCAGAACATGCTTCTTGCACTTAGGGAAACAGAATAGACATACGTATTTCCAAGTAACACAATGTCTTATACATGAGTCATAAAGTGTGTGTTGAGGACATCTCGACGGGCAAATTTCTTTCCACACATATGACAGGGGTACGGCTTCTCATTGTTATGTCGGCGACTGTGGTAGATAGCATGATCTTTGCGGAAGGACATGTAGGGACAAACTGGGCAGAAATACACTTTTTGATTTGACACTGTGCGCATCCCACACCATAGGTAGCTTTGGACATGAGACACCGTCTGGAAATAGAAAAGAATGCCTGAGCTAATTTTGACATGAAAAAGCATGATTTTTCTAAGTTATGTAGTATTAACAAGATATGAATGATGTACTAGCATAACTTCATCAATATAACTTATATATATATATATATATATATATTGGCAAATCTTATCACCTAGGAATCAACAGTCACACCAGTGAAGAGGATATTTCAATGTTTAATCATTTTTAAATCTTTGGAACATCATAGGAAAACTGCTACGGGGCAGGGCAGTTTGGTTTGTTGCACTTTTCATAGTACTACCATAAGACACATTTTTAAAGATATTGTCATGTTGTCATGATCTGCTTCTATGGGAATGAAAATTCAATTGATAACTCTTGGAAAAGATGGAAGAAAAATGCAAGAACAATTCATGCAACTGACAAGTATATGGTGTTTGTCAAGTATAATTTGTTGATTTATGGACAAAGTCACATTGCTTACTTACATATGTATCCACATATGCTGGATAGGGTCCTGGCACGAGGGGTAAACAAGTCCACATTGTTATGTACATTTAGGATTATATGGTCATACTTCCCCTAAGAATTCTTGTTACAAAGGAATTGCCATTTTCTCACAGCTAATTATAGTAAACATGATTGGAGCATTGTGTGTGTGTCCCTGAGAAATAATGCATTTTCCATGATTGGTTGTAAATGTCAATATCAGAATTTCTTCACTTGTAGACTTCATATAATTGAAATATAACTTATTTCAGGCAATATTTGAGCAGTTTTCAAGTCTTATAAATTCTAACTTCTTGTCATATCAGATTTTCACTCTGTGCTTTTTCCAAATAGTTAATATCTTTTACAAACCCATATAATTCTTCTTTCACTTTTTGACAAACATCACCAATGAGACATCTCTCCTCTCGTGAATTTCACCTCCTTTCCAATTTCTAAAACTCTTATAGTTATGACAGCAATTAATAAACATCAAACACAATAAGCAAGTCAACAGCTTGAGTTTTTTCTGTACTAATCCTGATAATTTTTTTCCAATATTTAAAAAGATTATTCTGTGGTTATACTTTTAGTCCCACTGAGGAATAATGACATTTTTCATAAATTCTTTAACTGTTATGCTACTTTTCTCTCTCCTGGAGTGATTCTTAAAAATTATTTTGGTGCACCATGGCTAATGATACTAGCTAAACAAAAGTGAATTCCTGTTGTCCTGGTATATCTACCACAAGGAATGAGAAATTTCCACCATTGAGGTAACTTGACCATAGCAGTTGAAAATGATTATCTGGATAAAACTACAAATGAGAAGAATGAACTATGCTGCAGCATATTCAAGCATATTGCCTATGTTGGTATAACATAAAATGATAGTAACCAAACTTGATTGCTCCCTCTAATAAAAGACTAAATGACCCAATTGAGCAATGTCTAATATTAATAATATTTCTGCCCTGCAACTCAGCTTCAGTGATAGTTATAGGGTGAAGATGCTCATGTTGCCATGCTTTGTGCATACCAAAGCGTATGAACACAGAATGTCTGTCATACCTATACCATGAACACCCAGCAAAAACGTATTTGATTCCAAGACTTTAGTCTTTGCTGAGGAATTGTTCCTTCCTAACCTGAGGATATAATGATTCTGTCAGGGAAAATGATAATTTTAGGGCTACAGATGAATTCTCTCCTGCTTCTCTCAATTTTGTAGCATTTCAGAATCTCACTTAGAAACATGGAGGGTGAGCTCAACATTTAACATTTGGTGTCTATGGATATGGAGATACAGAAGCAGCAATGGTAAGTGAATAAATTTCACTACTTTTCAGGGTCACTAAATCTGATAGCATTAATAACATTGCACAATTCATTGAAGCCAATGAATAATTATAAATGATTATAAATTATAATAACAAAATAAATGTAACAATGTAATCTTCAGGACACAGCAGCTGTTACACAAAAAAGACACAGCTAGCCTTGACAAAAGCCTATTTTTACTCAATGCCCTCAAACACAACAATCACCAACGATTGAGTCTTAGATGGAGTTGTATAAGCCAAATAAACTCATGCAGACTATTGCCTCATAAGAACCTCTTTGATCTAACTTACTTTTTTTCTCACCCCAGATGGGATCAAAATAAAGGGGATTGAGATCAATCTAAATTTTGTTTTATATGCAACTCTCAGCACCTAACCATGACCTTGATCAATAGCATAACAAATAGAATCAAATCATTACAGATCCAATTTTCTGTATTCCGCAAAATACGTATGAAATGAGCAGGAACATTATAATACTCAAGGAATATAAACCAAACCAAAAATATGTCTGATTTTGCTCAGAATCTTCTTCAGATATTCCAGTACATATCCTCTTCAACTTGAATGACAACACATTTCATACAACCTCAGCTTCTGGAGGAAGCAGATCCAAACAAGTGATATATGGGAATAAAAAATTATTAGAAAAGCAGATTATAAAATACTACTGTCAATCAATCCTGGGTGCAACACTCTGGTGAGCATAATAAAACACTGAGTTTCAATGCACAGTTTCCTTGGATCAAATGTGATAAGAATATGCTTGGGAATACAGGAAGGAGGAATGAAACATCATAATAGATATGTAGAAATGAACCCTCACAGCAACAAGCAGAAGACATTTCAAACCATGCCATGCATAAGTGTATCAAACCTGTTAACATCCTGAAAAACTTCACACTCACAAACTCTGTAACAAGAACAGGTGAATCTTCACTGGCATACAAAAGTTCTTAGCCATGTTTTCCCAATGTAGAGTTCTTCTTGATCATGAAAAAGTTGCTCATGGTTTTCCTAACAATAGATTTGACCCTTTATTTTCATTTGGTATACAATAGCATGAGTTTCATGCTGAGGTGTCAATGAAGTCACCATAACAATGAAGATGGGTGGGGGATAAAATATGTGCAGCTGCTTGGAATGGGATATATTTCACTTCTCTCATCCAAAAAAGGGAAACAAATGATAAATTTCTAATGCTCTGATATATTTTTGTATTTTATGCAAGAATAAAAGATACCATTCTCATATTTGCTTCAACAATACACTCAAGAGCAAAATTAGAATAACCTTCCACACAGAGGCAGAATGCCTCTCAACTCCTGCTATACCAATAACTGAATCAGTTCTTATTTTCCATTCCTGCTATAAATCCTTGAGCTTCATGATATTGCAAAATGTTCCAATTCTGTTACGGTGCCTAGTGAGAATGTTGCAAGAAATTGTGAACTCCTTCCAGCACCTCAGGATGAAACCCATACTATTGCACGTCAAGGGTCCAACCTTTCCTAAATACAATCCACCTCATGGTCTAGTTTTCTGCAGTCAAGAAGAAATTGGTAAGGAAATACATGTCTTAAAACTTTTGTGCACAAGTACATACAAATAAATGTGCATAATAAATTCCCTAACTCCATGCACAAGCTTGTGATGTCCTATGATCAAAAGAAATTTAGGTCACATAATGAGTACTTCTAACATGTCTGTCCAGGTTCCCCTTTTGTGTGAAGCACTTGTAACATGAGGGACATTGGAAAGGCCTTTTTTGACTATGCACACGACTGTGGTTTGTGGCATGGTGCTTGTGAATTGTGATATATGTACACATTCCACAAAAATATAGTCTCATGTCCCGTGCAGTGGAATATCCACACCATATATTGTCTTCAACCTTCATCACTCCCTAGGAAAGATAGACAGAGAGAGAAAGAGAGAGAAAGAGAGAGAAAGAAAAAAAAGATGCATTGACTAGCCCAGGTCATACTTCTGACATGGTACAACCTCAAAATATTTTCAGTTCAAAAGTCATTTGAAAAAATTATGAGGCCTAAAGCACCGATATTAACAGCAAAGCTTTGGAGTGAACCTCCATTTCTAGATTCCCACATGCGAAATATTGATTTCAAGTACTCCAGGTTCTATTCCCTGCATTTGCCAACATTTTTAAACAATCCATTAAGGCACTTTCATTAGAGGTGTCATGATTGTCATTGAGATTATAATCACATCAGATGAAATCAGTCTGATGAGAACACCCTAAAATTAAAACACCAATTTATAAAAGTCTGAAAATCTAGCATAAAATATAATTATATAATTAATTTTGAAGGAAATACATACTTCAAGATAGCTCAAAAATTATTTGGTACAGCTGAAACTTTTCTGCAAGAAAAACATTGCTAACTCCTCCAATAGATGTAACCTCTTACATGGATATTAGAAACTTAGGGGTTGTTACTGGCATATTACATAACAACCAAATTTCAGAACCATTGAATCTCTCATATCTATAGACCAAGAAAGACTTAACTCAGGACATGAAAATAAAATACTCTAATCAGTGGAATTCAGTTTTATGGGATCTCTTCCCTGGATGCACATTCCCTTTCTAAGCCATGCCCAAAGGCTTACATATAAATGTGACTGATGAGTTACACCATGGTTACAAACAAGCATTAGTGCAGACTCAACTTTACTGTGTACCCTCATTGTGAAGAAATGGCAAACCCCCTCCTCACAGTGGACTCACCTCAGTTTTCTGCATACATACTCATTCATGATTAAGCACCTGTCACTCGAAAATTGATAGCAAGGATTTGCAGATCAGTACCATTCATGCATAGCATGACACAATGGTGAGATAAAGAGAATGATAAATGAGTCTCAACCAGTACCATAATGTAGACATTTTTATGTCTGCATGGAGTTGCTGTTCCTGAGTAGCAGGATGCTGGATGAGTTCAGGAAGGAGGAAGGCTGTGTCTAAAACACAGAACCTGGGTAGGAAAGTTAGGAAATGCAGTGTCTGTGAATGATTCACTCCTGAGTAAGGGGGGGGGGGGGGGGCTTCAGAAGCTGATATTCATCAGCCTTTTGCAGGGGCATATAATTCCTGAGTAGCTAACAGAGAGATGAATGGCGTGAAGTGAAGTTCTGATATTGGTCACACTTGCAATGAACATAAGTAGCAAACCTGAGAAAGATCATGTTTAATGAAAAGAAAGGCAGAAACACATTTTTTTTTTTACACGGAAGAATACCCACATGAAAATTTCATATAAGACCATATATGAAATGGCCATATATTAAACCAGTCCAACATATATGGGGCATATATGACCATATACTGCAATTCATATATGAACATATATGAAACATGTATGGGATTTGACACAAGTCACATAAAATCATATAAGAAGGAAAATATATGACCCCCATACATTTTCATATATTGGCTCATACAAATGCACCATATACTGTCCATATATGCCATGTCATATCTATGTACGGTGAAATTACCTGAAACATGCCTGTATCCAAAAAGGGTCCATAATCCATCAAGTACTGTATGCTCATTCATATGCAAGTCACCATACCTCACTTGCAATCAACTCATTTTTAATTGTTCATAGACCACAGTCAATTACTCCAAGAACTCATGTTTCATGGTGTTCAACATATGCACCCTTGTTAATGAAGATCACCATACCTTACTTGCAGTCAACTCATTTTTAATTGTTCATAAACCACAGTCAATTACTCCAAGAACTCATGTTTCATGGTGTTCAACATATGCACCCTTGTTAATGAAGGTGAAAGTTTCAATATTATAGACTTGAATCTTCACAAGTATTTTCATCAGTAATGCTATTTCATGTCAAAACTTGGCTTATTCATGTACGGGTGTCTTCTTCATCTTGAATGACAACTCACAAGTTAATGGGAAAAAAAAACCTGTTTCTTCCTGAAATAATCCAATGATGGAATTGGTCAATGAAGGCATGGCACGACATGTGCCCCCCACTTAACAACAAAAAACACATTAGTACGAAGAAAAAGATCCATGAAATGCATGATAGCAGTGTCCCAGAGTTCTTGTGCCCCCCCTCCTCCCACACTTTTTTCATCCTCGATACGCTTATGTTATCTAGAGAGGGTAGGGCCCAGTTTGAAACCCTGACTGGAAATTTCCAGGTGGACAGAAGCTGTATATTCTGACCATTTCCAGCTGGCAAAGAGCTGAAAAATGGTAATTACCGGTTGTCTTACAGCTGGAAATTTACTGTTAGAATTTTACTCGGAGGACCCTTCAGTTGGAATACAGCTGAATTTGCAGTTGAAATTCAGCTGCTTCTATAGATGGACCTCCAGCAAGAATAGCCAGCAAAAACATTCTCATTCCACCAATGTATTGCATTTAGGAAAATCTGGATCTGACTTTACTTTCCAGCTGCTACCCAGCTGGAAAGTATGGGAAAGTAATGGGTCTGAATTTCCAACTGGGGTCCAGCTGGAAATTTATCTGTTTCCAACTAGGACTTTCAGCTGGGGGTTCAAAATCAAACACTTGGCAAATTACTTTAAATGTTATACATAGCTAACATTTCATGCAAAATATAACGGGTGCATTAAAAATTAGTTACAGAGACATCTGAAGGTCATTTGCCTTCATGTGTAACAACATTATGCAGTGGCATATTTTCCAGGAAGGGGGCAGGGGGGTGCCCCCCCTTGGCATCCCAGGAACAGGGTTTGGTGCCCCCACTCTGCTGCCCTGTCCCCCTGACTCTTCAGTCAAAATACACCACTGACCTTATGCCATGTTTCACTTACAACCATAAGACTTGTCTATGGATATTCACCACATATCAGACATGATGCCATTTTCCCATCAGACTTAATAGTGCAATGCAGGTAAAACATATTATACACCAAACAATTGTTAATATATGAATACATATAGTGGTATATGGCAAATATATGATGATACATGTCCATATAGAATCATACACCCTGTCAAACATGGAATTTTCATGTGGGAGTACTGGTTTACCACAGTGATTTTGGCTAATTTGCTGAGGTTCTTCCATTCCACAAGAGGATTTATTCACATATCAATTGAGCATGTGCTTCAAGAGCATGGATTGTTCAATTGATCATCTTCTTCAAAACCAATACATAACAACTTCATGCCTAGACTTTTCATTCACTTTTGAATTTACAAATTTATTTATATTCTAATTTCAGAGGAACAGGTTTCAAGTAGTTTCACTATGGACAATGAACACTTTAAACATAAGCTGCTAATGAAAACTGATTTTGCTCACATTTTGGACATGGGATTGTGCAAAAGGCTGCATGAGCAAAACAAACACTAATAGCATTTTTTTATGAGGAGGCTAATAGGAGGAGGAGAATATCACTTTTATGAGGAGGCCAAGCAGAAAAACAATAAAGAGACAAGCTAAACTTGCATAACATAACTGGCTTATGCTTCAGCAAAAAAGAAAGGACATCGTGCCACATGGAATGAGGCAACAATGGGAAAAGTGGAAATGATGTCACTAATGTTGTCATTCGGAAACTTAAAGATGATTTGAGGGAATTTCCTGACATGAAGCATCTTAGAACATGGAGTAACAGGTGTTTCCCTCATCCTAAAAAGATAACCATAAAAGTGTAGACCCCCGGCCATTCATGCATTCGAGAAGGAAACGGCATACATGCAGTCATTCATGTGTGGTGAAGGTGCTGAGAATCTCTGAGTTCTGGTCTGTCTCCTTTCTCCATGCTCTTCTTGCTGCACAAAGGAAATAATCGCATTAATATAACTCAGATTACCCATACAGACCACAAAGACAATAAGTCCATTGGCAAAAATCTCTATTGCAATGTGATTCCATATTTTCAAGTGTGCAACCTGCAACTTGGCCATGCCTACCCATTTGAACCATTTGAAGTGGGTGTGAATCATCTCGCCACGGTGATGTCCTTCACAAGGCAAGGCGCGTGTCCGCTCGACCCAAACGACCAGCCAGATATATGTGACGCACCTCACGAGGATGTCCCTGCATGGAGGAGAAACAGGACCACAAAATCATGCTGAAATGGATGAATGAAGTTGAACATATCTGTAGAAGTGACTTCCTGAATGAATTGTAAAACTGGAAGCATCAGAGGATATTGATAGATGATCTATGAGTCAGGATTAATCTTGAAATAAAGCATATTTATTGATGGATGATCTCCCTATCAAACAAATGCAAGGAGATTAAATGAATTTTGGGACAATTTTTGCTAAACACTTTTGGGAAATGGTGTTGGAGACATATAACACTGCTTGTCATAGGCAATGCAGTGAAGTTAGCTATGAGACTGTTGTTTACTGGTCATAAAAAAGAAACTTCATTTCATTGAGATATTAATTTTGGGGCTCCCCCAACAATTTTCAAGGTATCAGCCATGATCCCAGTTATATCTTGGAAAAACATAGGTACTTGTTGATGGTTAATAATAGCTAGTGAGAAATGTAGGCAATGGGAGGAATTTTAATACACCAGGATGTAGAGTGGATGGAAGCACACAAACAGCCAAGATCAAGCAAATGCAAACCTATAGAATGAAAAAAAAAAAATTCCTCCTTACAACTCCAGTTAAAGCAAAAATCACTCCCATTTTTGTAGGACTCTTCATTATGACAACAGAGGTTTCCAGAAGGCTGGGACAAAACAAACTGGAGGCCCCATTGTGGCCACTCAATGGATGGGGTCTGGCTGGATGGGTCATTTTGGGACCTTGGGATTGGTTATCATCAGAGGCCAACTTGGGATCCCTCAAGACACAAGGCCCTGGGAAGATTGTTCCAAATTCACCCCTGGGCACGCCTGATGACAGGGTCTTACGAAAGAATGATGTTGAGAGAGAGAAAATCTACACTTCACGTTGATGCAATATTAGCAGAATTTGCACCTCATGTTCATGGTTTGTATTGTGTACTGCAAGAATCCATTCAGTAGATAAAATACTATTATTTTCCCTTCGTCTTTTGATTCAAAACTCTACTTTAAAGGTAACTGTCATTTTCAAGTCAATCCTAGAGAAAGGTATTTGTGTCTGAGAATATGGCAACTGCAGATTCCCCAATTGCTCATTGATCTAGGTACCCATGATCATCCAGCACCTCTGTATGACATTCCATGGTCTCTCAACCCTTGCACAGGTGTGGCTGAAGTCCACAATACACACCATACTCTGTAGTCAGACTAGCAGAAACTAATCCCAGACAAGTGGAAGGTAGAAAACTGCAAAACTTCTAGTACACATTGACTATGCCAATATCTGCATCCTGATGGCTAGTAATTGAAATTTAAGTATACGTGAACCAAGACTCCAAACACACCATACTTGCTTAGCAAGGACAGTGCATTCATGTCACACAGGATAGGCAGCACTTCTCTTCTTTTGGCAAGTTTGCACAGCTATCATGTCAAGTATATTGGCACATGGGGTTGTCCTCATGAGTTTACTGTTGTCTGAGCAAGTGCTTAATGGAAGTTTCCTAGCAGATGATGGTCATCTATGAATATGAATTTTTTTGTGGGTAACTCACATGAGACTTAACTGCCATGCACAATCCAGCCCTGGCAATAACATGAAGAGGCATTCAAAAGGAATCAACAGTTTGAAGCACGATGCCCCCTGATTGGAGTCACTGTCTCACCTCATGGCCACTTTCCTCAATCTATGAACAATTGGGTGGTAGTGAGATGTACCTATTTTTAAACAGGGATTTGAGAAGTTGACAGAAATTATTTCATATCTATGACTGAGAAAAAACTCATGCAAAATGCCAGACAAAGAGGATGGTAAAACAGACCTTCACAGGTACAGGACTGAATGAAGGCAGTCATGAAGGCAATGCTTTGTCCTTTCAGCTCCATCTCCCCCCCATTTCCCACATGCCCACTTATCGATGGGGAAGAGGTGCCGGTCGTATTTCCAACGGCAGTGAAGCCCCGACATCAAGGAGACGATCTGTGAAAGAAATGATTAAAAATGACACATGATGACAATGCATGTGAAAGGAATATTACAGGTACTTGAACACCAATCAAGTTCTGGAAGAAAACTGTTTATGTTATAGTGCTGGTTTACCACAGTGATGTTGGTTAAATTGCTGAGGTTCTCGCATTCCATGAGAGGATTTATTTAAATATCAATTAAAGAAGCCATGTGCTTCAAGAGCAAGGATTGTTCAACTGATCATCTTCTTCAAAACCAATACATAACAACTTCATGCCTAGGCTTTTCATTTACTTATGAATTTACAAATTTATTCATATTCTAATTCCAGGGGAACAGGTTTCAAGTAATTTCACTAAGAACAATGTACACTTTAAAAGTAAGCTGCTAATTAATACTTTAATTTTGCTCACATTTTGGACATAGGATTGTGCAAAAAGCCTGCATTAGCAAATAAACACTAATAGCATGAACACATACCTCATATAAGAGAAAAGCATCTGATACCCTTTTCAGCATCCATATCTAATACCACAGAATAAACCACAGGTTTGAAAACATAGTTTCTTCAAATTTTAGCAATGAGGGCCTAGTTTCATGCCAGAAGTACTGCAACTTTACCAATAGGTAATCATTTATTTAGCTGAAAGAGTACTTCAGGCAAGAAGTGATGGGAGGTAAGACAAACATAAGAGGAAAAGTCTTAATAGTGCAAGACCAGAAAGAACGTAATAGGAAGGTAAACAAGCTTCAGAGAAAAACATGTCACCCTTTCACTCATCTGAATGAAAGCTTCTTTAAGAGGTTCGGCTTGAGGCCTTAAATACCGATCGATTGCTGGGGATCACAAGCACATACCACACGTGAAATCAATACCCTCAAGTGGAAATCTCGAGACAGGAGCAGATCTTTAACTTCAAGAAAATGTATGGCTCAATAGATGAAGGGTGAGGGAAGGATTCTCTACCTTGGATGGAGTATAATGGAAGTTTCCCCAATAGGCTAATTAATTCACCTGAACTGGGACTAAGAAGGTAAAGACAAGTCCTGAGTTGTGTATCCAGAGTCTGAAGGCTCTGCAAGATTGGTCCATGTTTACATCAGGAACATTTGGCACATGCGGTCCGAGTTGGACCGTCCACTCGTGTCGTGGACGTTTAGGATGCCGACATTCTTCTCGCGTGAATCGAGCACGACTGACATTTGGACCAGCTTCAGAGCGCAAAAATGCTGTCAGATGGAATGTGGCATTTGGCCATATCCATGCTAGTAGCAACTATTGTCATCTACTTTTGTATCTGCGAGCATGTGAAAGATCCTTGCCAACCAAACAAGAAAAGGCATTAATGACAGCAAGACTCCAATGTGCACAGTTGAACAAACTGCTCACCACTAGAGTGAATGGATTGAATGCAGTGGTGTAGTGAGGGGAGGGCTGGGTGGCTGAAGCCTCCCTCCCCAAGTTTGGTTCTAGCCTCACCAACTCTGCTCTTAATGCACTTGCCACCCCCTCCCCTCCTGGGCAGAGAAGTTATAAGTCCCTTTTTGGTGAAATCCTCGTCACTAAATTGATGCACAGTTAACCCCATTGCCAACACTTGTAAGGGTCTATAGTAACTTACTTTTTATATTGCATTGATAAACTTTATATTCCTTTTGTCAGGGTACACAAATTTCACTTGTCACTAGAGCAATCCCCATAGATGTTAATGTGGCTGTGGTATGTTGCTGAATTCAGGCCTAGGTAGGATGTTAGCCAGCTGTTCCAGTTCCCAGTGAACTGGGAGCTCCTTACACCAAAAACTTGTCACTAGAGCAATCCCCATAGAAAATGTTAATGTGGCTGTGGTATGTTGCTGAATTCAGGCCTAGGTAGGATGTTAGCCAGCTGTTCCAGTTCCCAGTGAACTGGGAGCTCCTTACACCAAATTGTGCATTGTTAACTGACAGTATACCTATTTAAACAACATAGTAATTTATAAAAATCCTTATCTGATACTTGATTGCACAAGCAGGTAGGCCAAGTCCCATCCAGTCCTGACATCGTACTCCTCCCGTGGAGTCCAAGAATGGTGTTTCGTGATGGAAGGTGGGAAGTGTGAGGCAGTTAGAGAGCCTGCTGAGCTTAGTCCTGCATCCTCCAAGAGGGGCTGGAGAGAGGTCAAAGGCACCTGGGCTTTCAAAATCATCACATATAGCTAAATCTTTCAATGCTGTTCCACATGAACCTTTTCAGCATAACCACCCTTAAGCACTTCTGCTATTGCTCCATGCATTAATTCAAGAAACAGACAGCTACTTTAGCAAACTGGCTTAAACCAAGGGCAGTCTTTAGGCACCAATGTTGAACAGCAGGATCGCAGGAGCCATGTAGAAAAACAGGGTCACTCCATCCATATCCAAAAGTGTGTGATAATATTAATAATAGGACAATCTCACCCTCACACAGCCATCTAAGCAACCCTTGACCTTGGTTGGGTATTCAACTTCATATACTATTACTTAAAATATTATTTCATTTGACATCTTCTCCCAGAAATTAAACATTTATTTCATGAAAAAATATGTTTAGGCATTGCCCTTGTATCAGATGCAAGGCAATGAACAAATATAATTAATAAAAAAATGATTTCCTGCTGGGATTAAGAAGCTGGAAGAGCAAAGAAGTTGGCGCAGGTTAAGGGCAGTTAAGCCAAATGAGTGGCATTCTTTGTCCATCACACAGGGATTAGTGGTGATGCCTTAATCACAAGATACCACGCAAGGACCTCATGAAAGAATGTACTGCCTGTGCCCACAGGTACTAATCCTACCTCTTCGATCCAATTTTCAGGAACGGATTGAAGTATGACAATTCTCTGATAATCATGATGATTCTTCAATGATACCATTGATTCCTCCATTTACAGCCTGAATATCACAAACTTCAATGTTGCAATATTTTGAAAGTCAGGGAACACCTCAGCCCCTCCCTCCTTAAACTCCAATTAAGGGATCCTTGGTTCATGGCTCTCCACTGTACTCCCCCCTTGCACTGAGACTTGGCTCTTGCATTTGCTCCCATGAGACCAGTACATCATGAAAGCAGAGGAAGATCACAACAAACTCCGTCCATCACCGGATCGACAGAAGTTCCAGGAGCGATTCGGGGTTTCGCAGCCATCCGTGCTGCAGTATCAGTAGGCACTCATGATAATGAATGATGCTTTGGAGGGGATGGGACAACTAATGATGGGGATGAGTGTTTACCTATATCTGGCAAGATCAATAATTTGTTTATAGTCAATCACATCATCTGTAACAATCACAGCACTACAACTTGGTTCCAATAATTTTGGCGAGGCAGTGGACTATACTCTGGTAGGTAAAAGAACTCTGCGGCTTCACTTTGGACTTTCGCCGTACCTTTAGGCGACACGCACCGGATGGGTCGTGTCGACCGGAAGCGGCTCTCGTGGATCTCGATCGCCTTCCTAGGACTGCTGATGCACTGAGAAGGTCCCCTCAGAATGGCATCTTTCCATTTGATCATAGTTTCACTGCCTGAAGGAAAGGATTCCATTTAGTGTCACATTTTATTTAGTCAGCAGTTTGACAATATAACATAAAAAGGCCAGTATGAATATTCAGCAGAGATTGTTAATCTAGTCCTGCAAATTAAAACTACATTCTTCCTTCTCTAGTTCCCAACACTGATTCCAGGAACTCCTGTAACATTCTTAAACCTTTGCAGAGAAGTGACCATAGGCTACTCCATGCATAGGCACCAAGGTTGATCAGTAGTCAATCTTTTTGTGCACATGATTGTCTGAATTAGGTGAAAAACATTAATTAGATTTAATTTAATTCCAAAAACTTTGTGACTGACATTACCTTGCAGCCTGAATTTGAAAGGCATCTTTGGAATGAGATTTAAAACAACACCAAAACAAGTTTACAATATAACTTTGTGCACAGGCGAACTTGAAATGAGAAACTGATGTGCAAGCAGTGATGCAAGGACACACTGCTTGATAAAAAGGTCAGCTGACAGTTGTGGTCTACATACAGATCCCAAGAAAGGGCAAACAATGAGAAACCCTCTACTTTTACATAAACTCCTAGGGTGGGTTCTTGTACTCCCTTTAGTCCCTAAAAGAACTTTTAGGTCCATTGCCAGCAAGGACTAAAAGACTGTTAGCAGCTAAAAGGGTGTACAAGAACCCGCCCCTTGTCTCATTCCAGGTTTCTGATATGAAACAGGTATTCTATTCCTTTGGTTTTTACCGAATGGAAACATTAAAACGAGCAGAAAAATGATGAGATTGAATTACGAGGATGAAAATATTCACTCAAGCACCAGGCCACAATTGGACAGTAGCTGAGGCATAAGATTTGGCCCCCCTGATCCAACTCCACCTTTTCCCCTTCCTTCAATGTGCAAAGGTCATTTTCACCACGATGCCTCAAAGTGTCCATCGGAAAATGAAAAAAAAAGAAAGTGCCAATAAGAGAATGCACTCCTGAGATTTCAGTTGCCTCGGCTGCTCAGCAACGGTGCCTTTAAAAGCATGGAAAAAAAGGCAGCGTAGATTGAACGTGGAAAACCACCTGTTAGTTCAGGCCAAGGCTTATACAAACACAGCTTATACAGGCACACCTTTAGGCCTGCCATAAATATAACGTTTGCAGCATGTACAAAGTTTTAACATTGCATCGGGTTCAACATCATGCTAAACACATGGGCCCCTTCTAATCCCACCTCAAAACCCTGAGTAAGAACGAACACGCCCGTGGAAAGCCTGCCAAAAGAGAGCATCCCCCCCGCGGCCAGCTCATCCAATCGGCTCCGGCCTAGGCCGGACCCGTACCTCGCGAACACGCGGCGCCGCTCACGTGGCGCGCCGATGGACGTCGCATCGTGACGTCATCGTGACGTATCGGGCATAGTCTGCTCCGGCAACAATAGAATCACACGCTTCCGCGATCTCACCGCAGACATTCCCAACCGACCGGGCCCAGACGAGACGATCCTCACTCGAACGGCTTTTTTTCCTCTCAGCTTGTATAACTTCTTTTTACTCCATTAAGTCGCTCGCCCGCATATTTCAATTTCCAACAGCGAGTTCCTGGGATTTAAATCACTGAGTGGAATTTTCTTTATGCGTTAGTATGAGTGTTTGCGTCTGAGTGCCTGGGCACGGAGACATTTCCCCCGAGCCTTGTTCTATTTTTATTTTGTTTCCCGAAAATCATTTTCAGGATCTTAACAGTTCTCGGTGGATTGGTTTGAAGGAGATGTTACTGTCAGGAAGCGGAACGCATTTCAAGGGTGAGCCCTATTTTGGAAATTCTTCCGCTCCAGCGGAACGGCTGATGGGACGTTATCTGCCTCTTTTATGCCGGCATAAAAGAGGCAGATAACGTGCTCTCATAATTCACTTCCTTTCTGCAGGCCGCAACATCCCCAAGAGTGACGCCATCTAATGACGCGATTGCGTCGAGCGCAAACGGAACGAGGACTACTTTTGCCGACAGTTGAAAGCGGCTGGAGGAATAGCCGATGGAGCATTCGCCTGCATCCAGCAGGAAACTCGAACAAACTGATATTTTGCTCCTACGAATTCCGGCTGCGGATTTCATTCAAATCAGGGGTGTCTATTCAATTAATTCAATCGACCGGTTATCAATTAGCCATTTCAGACCTAAATTAAGGCCGCTATCGGAATAATATATTTTTTGCATGTTTGAGTTCTTTTTTTTATTGAAATTGAAATTTTCATGCTCATGTTTTCAATTTTCATAAGTTGTATAAATTTACCATGTAATACCATATATTATATATTATACATTTGATTAAATAACTGAATATTACAAAACTAATGGGTGAAAGAACGCATCTGATGGAACTGAGCCGTACATGATTGCGCCCATTGTAGCGTATTATGCAGCGCAAAGTCACGAGAATCGTAATAAATTTCCAAAAGGTAAAAGCAATGTCCATTGGAATGGACGCCATGTCTGAAAGGGTTAAAGTATTAGTAGCAATTTAAGAATATTGTCGAAAGTTATCGACTTTCAATCGACATCATAATCTCCCGCCGAATGCCTCTTATTCCCATTAACATTTTAAAATACAATAATATTTCAATAAATTAATCGTTTGATTAAATTAATCGAATGGAGAGTCCTACTTTAAATGTTATGGAACAGAAGTCGATCAACCTCAAAAAGTGGATCAGCTTCAAAGCACGGATGTTCCTCGGGTAGCAACTAGTGCCATTTAACGCCTGAACGCCGGCAGGAAGAAGAGAAATGGCTCGGATCATCACTTAGCGTCGATTCGTTCGACAGCATGATCACGTGGCGAGAGTTCAACGGGATTTGTTATATAGCTGAATGATGCGAATTTCCTTTTAAGAAAAAAGTATTTGGTAGGCATTTTCCGGAATCCAATGCATCCCGCGAATGTTTCCAAAGAGACAGCGTTGTTTGTCGATTCGCCTTCACTCTCTGCGGCCTTCTGGAGCGCTTGCTGTTCGAATCGAACTCGGAAGCCACGCGCAGCGGCCTTCCACTCTTCTCGTCAAAGACTGAGTTTCTGCCATTCGCGAATGGTTACAGCATTTCGATGTCGCTTTTATGCGCATAGCATTCGGCCCCGACTTGTTCTTCGTCCATAGAATTAAAAACAACGTTACAGATATATATCTCTTCATTCCAATTTCTTGCGCGCCAATCATCTTTGAAAAATATCTGCGAAAACATATGCATACATTTACACATACACCATCCCCCTACGAAGAGGTAGGAATGAGGAGTCCTGCCTAAAAAGTGAAACATACCCTGATGATTTGTGGTCGAGTTTCACAAAGCCGCGTTCATGACTTAATTTCACGTTAACTTCTCTGCACTTTCTTCTGTAACGAAGATCCACGTGTCGTGAAAGCTTCATCGGTTCATCAGATTAATTGAGAATGCTGCTGGTCGCTGCGACACACGTCGACCTTCGGCAACGACTACGAAGCCGATTTCGGAGCAGAATAGAGATTGACGGGAGAAATATTAAAGCCGGCGGTGAAAATGGACGCGAGGAATCGAAGGTTTGACAGTGTCTGTAGTTTTACAGGGGAGTTAACAAGTAACCCACGAAGTGGACGTAACGGTCCGTGTTCGACATTGCTTTTCCGAAAAATAAGTAGACGTCTACTGTGTCGCCCTCTGCAAGTTGAAGGACGACGGATTGCCCCGGCACGTCGTATTCACCGAGATCACTCGTATAGAAAGTGTACATTGCCGCTTTCACAAGCTCGTTTTGCCGGATATGGACAAGGCCAAAATCGTCAGTGTAATAATGGAAGGAGAAAGAGTAGATTCCGGCTATGGGTGCGGTGAAAATTCCCGTGTTTGGGTCCATGGCATCGCCGACGTTTACCTCCGTCGACTCGTACCTAATGACTGCGTTCTCCGTGATGTAGTCAGATCGTCTAAAGGCATCGAAAATAACTGCTCCGTCTTGAATGAGAGCACTGGTCTCCACTTGAAACTTGGGATCCGTCTCGTCCAAATCCATCTGGCAAAGGACGACATCCAATCGTCCTTTTTTCCTGCTGATGAGGTGGTATCCCGTGCGAGTGTTCCCAGCTCGGCGCAGAGACGAGCAGGATGTTGCTGGATTTTCCGGTCGGGGAGCCTCACCCCTGCAAACCAGTCCACCGTGCTAGAATGAAAAGTGAGGAATAATAATTTTAACAAAAATATGAGATTTCGTCTTGGGTAAAACTTCAGAACAGGGTTCATTGGCTGTTGAAATGCTCAAGTCACACCTACTTGTTTCTCGCATGACTCTGACTGATCGATCAAAGAAGTCATCTGCTTCGAGAATGCCTCGTACGTGCTTTCCATCGAGTCGTGTTGAACGACAGTGGTCACCGGGTCTAAGGAAGACGTTACTCATCACGATGACCGTCTGAGAAGGCTACTTGTCTAACATGATGGAGGTGTTTTTAAAAGAAAGTGGAATGGCTGTTTGATTTCCTCCACCGACCTGCTTCCATGTCACAGAGGACTTTGATGGGTGATTCACCGATGAGAGCACCGTCTGGATCCACAAGGTACGTTCCTGTCTTCGAGACTCCAAGATTTGCCAGAGCATTGCAGCTTCGGGGCGCTGTGAACAAAATATTCGACTTTAAATAAATTAGCCAAAATTAGGAAGAAAAAATATATGATGAGGAGCAATATACTAATTTTAAAAAGAGTACTCACTGATTTGCAGTGAGAGCGCTTCCAGATATTCCAGTCTGTCTTCCATCGCATTTTCAAGCTTCATCTGATCCCTTTCGTGGAAATATCCCTGCACCCGAGACCTGAAGCTTTCGTGGTCGTGCCTGAGACTCTCGTGTTTTTGGCCGAGGATCCCGTTTTGATGCCGCAGGTTTTCGTTGTCGCGCCGGAGACTTCCGTAGCTGTTTCTCAGGTCTTCGTTTTCTTGCTTCAGGTTTTCAGCGACGAGCTTCAGTTGTGCGATGTCGTTTGCGAGTTCTTCGTTTTTTCCTATCACAGCTGACATCATCTTCTCCAAGTGGAAAAAGTTCGCACGTTCATCGGATGGATGGATTGGGAATTTCTAAAATGAACAGATCAGAATTGAAGTAAAATCATTGATTTGGAAAGAGTGTCTGCATGTAAAGAACAATTATAAACGAAATCATGGTTTCCTTTTTGAAGTGTACATTTTCGTCCATTTCAATAAAAAAAAATCCTAAGCCATGTTGCAAAACCGACAATTGAAATGTAATATGGAACATGTTATATTTTATCCAATAAAGACGTTATTGTTGTAATCAAGATAGTGATCCGAGATAATCTCCCCACCCCCCTCCAGCCTTTTGTGAAGCACAGCAAATAACGAGCCGCAAATGACCAAATGCCGTTGTTGGATATATTTAAACAATAAAGAACCTGAAGGGAAGGGCACAATACACCTGAGAACCTTGGGGACATTTGACGCCAACGCAATCTTTCGCGTATGACACTTTAGAATATTGTAAAAGAATGTTTCTCAAAAGCCATCCAGTTTCGTGTCGTGGAACCCAAACAATTTGGTTCTCACAATGGAATATGCAATACGCTTGAATGAAGAAGTTAATACTTCTCGGCTGGACAGTGATGCTTTCCATCCCTCTCCAATAACCATTCAGAAAATGAATAATACTCGATGATACACCTCGCTTGAAATGAGAATCCTTGCTTCTCTGTTTGTTCTTATGAATCCGGAAGAGTACATATCGAAATTTGCATTTTGGAAAAGGAGAATGACAATTTGTAGAAGTGACTTTTAACTTTAAAAAGCGCTATATGTGTGACCGTCGAGAACAGCTGAAAAAAAAAGAAAATTGCTCACGCACGCGGACTTTCTATTCGCAAAAATATCACAGATCATTTACCTAAATTGAATTTGAAGAAATGGAGAAAATCCTTTTCATATAGCATTATAAATACTTAATATTAAAACATCATGGGTCTTCATGAACACTTAGGAATCTCTACCTTTCGAGAATGTATTAATATAATATTGTAATTGCATTTTACGTTCGCACGTTTGCCGCATGGTTTGTCTGTACTTTTTAGCCTTTCCTTTGTCATCGCGCACCAAGTGGAGCAGCAGTGACTTATTTCTCGTTCAGCGCGAATTCGTTCTTGATGACTGTCAGATGCATCTCTCCCTTAGTTCGCGTTCCTTAGTTCTTACATGCTAGTTTGACGGAGGGGGAACAGGGGTAGGGAATGTCCCGATTTGTGAATGGATGAGCTCGTTGTGTGCATGAGTGGCATGGCATGAGTGAATTTTCTCACCTGTGCGTCACCATGTTTGAAGAAGGCGAACAGCAGGATTGGCAAGAGACCTGGAATCCCCCTCATTTTCATGCACTTCTGGGTTTGTCCTCACACCTGGAAAGAGATTATCGACCGAATTCACTCATGGAATACTAGCAGACGTATCTGGCGTTGCACGCATGGATATTGTAGGCGTCCAATATTTGAGGATTTAATATTGTTTTAGGCAAACCCGGCTAGAAATTGCTTAAAATATGTAACATATGGCACAACCCATTGCAAAATTCCATTAGCAAGCTGTTTGTTCAGCTTTGATTTTCATCAAGAGTCCCCAAAAATGTTGACTCCTTGTAGTCGTGAATCGGCCGAACCTACCCTAAATAAGGTACCGCGGGGACTCCGCATTTTTAAACGTCACATAGCTAATGACTTTCTTCGACCAAATGAGGAAGCAATGCAAAGTTTGGCCGGACTGGGATAAGAGGCTTGGCTGTGCATCATGGACAGGTTCAGACACAAACACTCTGAAATATAGATAGATTGGATACCTGCCATACTTGAATCTACCTGATGACAGTTGAAATCACGCCCAGGAACAACGCCATTCGTATCTCCTTGCATTATGACTGACCAGAGTGTTATGTAATGATTTATTGGTATTATTCTGACCCCGTTTACCTGATTAGAGCTTAAATTCCGATCGCCGTGGCATGATACAAATCACTGTATGGGATTTAATCCATTCCAAAGTTACTGCGCTTGGCTCAAGTTACGATGGTTTACATAATGAATAGGGTTAGCAAAATGCACATCAATCCCCCCTAGTAACTCGTTATGAGCAGAATAAACTACCTCTGGGTCATAATAGATTGAAGCGATTTTCATACAGATCATGATACCCTTTCATTATAGGCATAATATGTTTCTGCACGTGGTCAACCTATCAAACCTGTCAAACGTATCATTTGACACCCTCAAAAAAGATATTTTATTTGTTGTATACCTTCTTCCATACCGACTTTGTCACCGAGACTTTGGCAGAAAGACCTCCTAATACGGATTTGAGTTAATGAACATGGTGACCTAATACGGACTGAAGTAATGTAAAAACCATTCATCAATGGCTTTCCCTTTCTTCAGCCTCATTCCCTCTCTCTCATCTATACGAGAATCAGGAACGTTTGGCCAAGGCCTACCTTTTTTCCGTTCAAAAGGAACAATCCTCGACTTACATGACCAAGTAAGCCCATAGTGAATCCATGGTCTTCGACTCTCACCGGACGTGCAACGTAAGGCCGATCGCAGGGCCATTCCGACTTTCACATAACGCTTCAGAGATGACGTGTTACGTTAGGCCTATCTGGAGTTACTCGAACCGTCTCAATGAGGTCTGAGGAATGCCTCTGGGAACCAAAAAATACATGGAGAATAGGCACTAAGGTGTCTATTGATGCATGGAGGCAATCCTGTTCGTTCGGGGATTTCCAGATTAACCCTGTCTCATTTAAGAAAAACCTCCTTTTTTTCCCATCTTTTTCTCCCCAACTCCCACCACTTGGCCCAAGCAAGAAGGTTTTTCTTAACTGAGACACTGTTAAATATCTCCATATCTCACCCCATCGATTAACCACTGCTAACGGTCGTTTCATTCTCATAAGCTCAGCGCGAAAATGTCGCATGCATAAAAAACAGAAGATCTAGACACCAATACGAAGGCCGAAGCAGTCATGAATCTGGCGTAACCCCGACAAGATATCCCCCAAAACTGGGGGATAGACAGGGGCCAGTACTTTGGCCTAAGTGAATCACAGCTAATACCATTTTTAATTGGAAAATGATGCATCGTAAGCCACACAAAAACACAATTATTCTCATCTTCGAGATACATCTTCTCAATGGCTGGAATATTTCCCTCGAAAATCCCCAGGAAGGAGGGGGGGGGGGATATAATAATGGGAATAAAATTCACATCTTCAAAAAACGAGATTCCTTGCTCTCCACAACTCCGTGAATATAGAGTTTGCTGGAATGATTCTGTGTCGAGAGAATATCCTACATGCCTAATTTCGCTCCCATTGATGCTCTCCAAGGGGAGTACGAGGAGGTTCATTTTTGTTATAGAAAGGAGTTTAAGAAAAAAAGGCAATAGACGCCTATTGATTCTCCGCTAACACTCTAGGAGTAGAGTGGAACTGGAGATTTTCATTAGAGTAAAGAAATGGGATTGTATTGCAGATGAAGATCGATATACATACATGAAATATACGAAATTCTTAAATAAATTAGACTGCGCACTCCTTTCGTGACATGCCCTTCGTTACTTTAAATAACTATTTGCCTAGTCATATCGTGTCGAAATTGGAATAGGAAGCCAGATTACCACATGTAAGACACGTACGGAATCTTCTTCAGGCATTTCGATCCTCTGTAAACCTTAAATTCTCACAATGTTGGAGTTGCAATGTGTAGCGTCTATCTGCTCTCTCTTCGATCCGAAGACCGAGGGGGAAGGTTGCGTAAATAAAGTAAATTATCAGAAGCGTCAAAAAAGGTATGGGTTAGTGGCATATCAGTGAATGACCGGAAATGAAAGGAGGACAGAAAAGCGTGGAGTAATTAGAGAAGGAAATGGACTCACGGTTAGAAATGGACGCTGGACCCTCTGCGGAAGTGAATTTGAAGGACCTTTAGTGAGGCTTAAATACGGAGGAAGTCATGCGAAAACTCACAACTGACATCCCTCTCAATTTTTTTTTTCCAGTCTGCCTCTTATCAAGTGTTGAAAGCCATGGAGAAACTTTGCACCTGACGAACCTTTCTACGCATTTGCTACTCCATCCTGGAGAGGGATTCCCCGACTTCTATTTTTGGAGAAGAATATATGTGATACCATCACACGTGCATTTACTCACAGGCTCTTCATTGTTCGGAAGAAAAAAAAAACGAAAATATTTTTCCGGGTTGAATGAGTCCAATGTGACACCATCAGGACTTGTCAGCTGTGGTTCACTGAAAAATTATTCACTGTTGGTCATGTCAAACTGAATTTGAAGGAAAACAAAATCAGTTGCTGGATTGCTTTGGATAAAAGGTATAGATATAGTGAAAGAGAAAACTTGAGTTATAACCATAAAATCAGGTAATAAAAGTTATGAGTTAAAAAACTATTTATACTTTTTCCAGGCAAGGTATTTTTGTGGACAAGGCCAAGCATTTTTAGAATTTTTTCTTAAAAGCAAATCCAAACTTAACAAAACTTCTTTTTTTGAATCTATGGATGACTATCTATGAAACCCATATTAAATTTAAAGAATATTTTGAGAAATTGCGCACTGAAATGAAATGAAATATACCCTGGGGGTGGGGGGGGGGGTCCAACGGACCCCCCATGCCCGGATAAGGGTTAAGTAAAAGTTATGAATAACGTTATACAGTTGCTAAGTGGCATTTGCAATGGACAGTTCCTTGTTATGAAAAAGGAATTTCGAAGTGAATGTTGAAAAATTATATGGCGTGATATTCATTCATTTAATATTCAAAAGCTTCATTCAAAATGTAAACGAAGGAGGAGTTAGACCTGGCCTCGAGGACAAGGAAGGAACCTCAAATGTAACAAAGAGGATTTGATTAGTCTCCCCTGACAAGATCGAACACGTACAGGTGCCGTGCTCATCTTAGGGAGGCCAGGGAATCGTGTCATTGCTCTGGTCGTTCTTGGTCTTGGCATGTTCTGGTCGAAGAACATGAAGCTTAGTGTCCCTTTTTGAGCCTGTTGTGCGTCAGGAGAGACGTTCGACGATTAGGTCAGTTGCTGAGGATGTGAATTTGTCGTATGGGTTGTGTGAGGGTATCAACGCAAAGGATTTAAGAGTGAGACGAGTGTCGGCGAGATTTCTCCCCGGTCAACCGCGTGTAAAACAAAAGCCGAACCTAATTGTTTGTCTGTCAGGATCTGCTAGCCACCGCTACTTAGAATCCGAACTTCAATCGAACATAATCATAGATGTTGAAACTTGGAGTTACGCTATAATGTGGAAACAAAGCGTGGAAGCTCGCAATTGAAAACATTCAGATCACCAATTAACCTTGCCAGCAGAAATCAGCTGTGAAGGTGATCCTGATCGTGTTTTACCACTATGACGGGATTGTTCGCTTTCGATTTTTTCAATGAGGTATAACAGTCAATCAGTACTACTTTCTATCACAGACTTCCATCACTTTCGCCGTAAAAGACGAGAAAAGTAAGAAGGGGACTTCTACATTTTTCAGCACGACATTTTTCAATTGTTTTCAATTTGAGCTCGGCGTTACGTCAGAAACTTCGGAACTGTCCCCAGCAAGTGACTCCAGGGCGACTCCAGCCTACAAACATGGCAACTCACGTCCTAAAACTCTTCCATCAAACTTCTATGCCCGTCTGGATGGAGCGAAAGGATTGGACTGGTTCTTAAACTGAACTCTCAGCGGATCTCCATCTAAAGCATGGATGGCCATCTGGTTACCATTCGGGTGATTTCCGGTGCTATGACCGACTTGCAAGAAGGATAACCTAACATTCAAGCAATCAGAAGATAATATTCGTGAAACATGAAAGTTCATGTATTTACTACCCCAATAATTCACATAATGACGTCATGGCACACACGTTAAGAAGGTGCATGGGTTTAGTAAATGGAGCTCACATAGTAAAGGCGGCACTTTCGGAAGTTCCAAATTTGGGATGAAATGGTACATGATGGGCTTTGGGAAGGGATGTCGGAAAAGTGATCGGGCGGTGACCAAAAATCACTAGAAGATTCATTATTTAATGCAATTTCCAATGCATTGCACATTGTACATTGTGAGAAAATAACTTCAAAGTGTCTGTTTCTCCTGTGGTAAGTTTCAAGGAAAGCAATAGAGACGTCATATTTTCAATTGACAAACACAAAAAGGTTGTCAGGTTGTGTCAGGTGTCAGTCTTGCTCGCGCGTTCGTAGCGTGAGGATGTGTTGGAGTATACTCTCGAGGTTGTCAGCTAAGTCGTGAGTTAGTTGTTACCTGGCTACTTTGTGGCAGTATTCATAAGTTTTCTGATAGCTACCTCCAACTTCACATTAGATCAGTATCAATCAGCTTAATTACTTTAATTATTAGCGCATTACTCGTAGTATTCATATTCTGATAGCTACCTCCAACTTCACATTAGATCAGTATCAATCAGCTTAATTACTTTAATTATTAGCGCATTACTCGTAATATTCCTTTTACTACAAGGACTAGGACAGTACAGTCTTAGCCGGGTTACAACTAGTGTGAAGTACTGCGAAGTATAAGTCTAAAGCAGTAGGAGTGTCAATTGGGATCAATAACATTAAGTAAGTAAGATGCCTAGGATGTGTAGAAGCGTTCGGTGCGGGGATTGGGTAGGTGGGACTAGTGAACGAGAGGTATGCCAGGTATGCAGAATTTGTAGCTTGGAGGAGCGATTAGGGGAGCTATCGGGAAGGCTCATTAACGTGGAAGAGGAGATTAGAGAGATCAGGAAGGAGGTGGGTGAGATACAGAGGGATGATTTAGTGGCGAGGCTAGTTAGGGTGCAGGAGGCACTCCGGGGGTTCCCCAGCCTTCCGGACTTTACTGGGA